AAAAACAAACGGGCTAGCCGCAAACGTCCGTGCCGTATAGCGTGAATAACCCTGTACAACTTCTTCTTATCGGCCGCCTTTCGCCCGTGTATCGAGAACTACCATAACGTTTTGAGTGGCGTTTCTTAGGGTGGCCCATTCACTTGCTCCGTTTTCGATCCGAATGGCGTCAAAGTCTCCGGCCTGGAAGGAGCGCTTCCCCTAATTCCCCACAGCATCGAGCTGGATTGTCGAAACGTCGGAGTGCCTGGGGAGGTGTTTGCCGACATTGTGCACGATAAAAGATCCATCCATTGCCATGTGGAGAAGGTGGATAAACTAGGCTTCCACTACCGGGTGCATTTTACGCCAAAAGAGGCAGGCAAGCACAGGGTAAGGCTTCAACTGGTCGAGACATCCGAAGGCTCTAACCGGCCCATAATCAGGTCTATGTCTACTTCAACGGCTACGACGTGAAAGGCTCTCCATTTATGATGCGGGTGGGCACCCAACGAAGGAGCAAACCTTCCACTTCCAGCCCGAACAACACGTACAGACAAAGCCCGACCAACCGCTATGCCAGCCCGAGTCCCACTTCCAAAAACACCATCTACAACAGCTACAGGCAAAACGCCAGTCCTCTGCTGGAGGAGACGCACAGGTACGCGCAGGACTACCACATCAGATCAGTGGCGGAGAAGAGCAGGATCACCTCGAATTCTCCCAGTTACGAGCGAAATGCAAGTCCCAGCTATGTGCAGAGAACGTCCAGTCCAAGAAATGAGAGTCCCAACTACGGCACTAGTCAGCCTTACGGCCGGGAGAGTCCGGACTACATTACCAGCAAAAGGTCGGTTCTGGATCTGGTTGGGCATCTGTTCCAGAATAAAACAAATACATTTTTAAGGTTGAACGAGAAGCGCTACGATACATCGAGCCCCAGTTTTGCAAAAAAGGCCGATTCCAGCTACACCAGCAAAATCAGCTCAATGAAACTATCGGACAGCAGAAGTCCCCACTATGGGGAACGAGCCAGTCCTGATGTGGACTTCACCTCGAGTTCCAGATACGAAAAGCGATCCAGCGACAGCAGAGCGTACAACAGCTACAGTGAAGGTAAATTGGGTGTTTGGGCGCTGAAACTGGACGTTACTTTGCTTTGTCCAGGAGTTGACACTAGTCCAATCGTGAAAGTGTCCGCAATGACCGACCAGTCAACCAGACGGGACTCTTGGGACGCCATCAATAAGACCAAGAATATATTCTCGGACAGGAGTCTGGAGTCTTTGGCTAACCTCACGCAGTCTCAGCTGGATTCGGATGTTAGGCGGCAGAAAACTGAGGAGCACAACAGGTGGGCTGCAGTGTTAAGAAAACAGGGGTGCTAGAAAAATCTAACTGGTTTGCAGGTTTTTAATGAATGAACATCAGTACACATCGCAGTCCGACTACAAGCAAAACTACTCCGAAAAATACACGAACAACGTCGACACCTACAACGGGCGCAGTTACGGGCGCAATTCTCCCATTTATAAAGTGACGACCAAAAGCAGTTCCGGAGGAGCTTCCTCTGTTAAAGTGCAACCGGTTCCAGATGGCGTGTTGGGACAACCTGTCGAGTTCGAAAGTAAGCTTGAGTTCTAGTTGAATGGCCCAAACTGTCTCGAAAGCAAACCCATCCACTGCCCATGTTAATTTCTTATATGTCGAGTATATTCCAATCCAAGGAATTTTAATCCCGCAAGGTCCAAAAAGAGTTTTCTGTTATTTTGTTTGAACTCATTTGACTCTTCTGCAATCTTCTGCTAGTTGATGGCAGTGGCGCCGGTTCTGGAGACCTGGAAATCCTGGTGGAAGGTGGCCGGGTAACGTCAAGCGTGAGAAGTTTGGGCGGTCAACGGTTTAAGGCTGCTTTCACCCCCCATCAAGCTCTGCCCCATCGGGTCGACATCCAGTTTAATGGGGACACAGTTCCAGGTAAGTAGGGATAAATCAGGTGGCTGGATTTTGATTGTTTGTACGAAAAGTACCCATCTTGCGCGATAGTTGAAAATATCCTTCGTTTTTCGTGCAGAAAACCTGCTTTGTTTACAACGTTTCGACTTGTTGTCAAGCAAACAATGTGAACATCTTCAAAAAGCATTCGGGTAGAGGCGAAGTGAGGGCGCATTTCTGGTCACAACTGCGTTTTGTTTTTCTGCATTGGCTGCGATTTTCGTATAATAGGGTGTTTTCACTTTTTTTTTTAATATTGATATATAGAAAGTTGTTATGGTAACCAATACACTTATATAATTTTTTTTTGCAAAAGAGGTCTCTATAATAATTTTAAAGCCAATTTAAATTCAAATCAGATATTTCCTGCCAAAAACGCAGCATCTGTATAGTCGGTTGCCTATCCCGATTATGACGTAGCAGGTCATATCAACAAAGTGTCTCGTGTTTGTTCTGTTGTTTTCGCAGCTTTGTTTCATTATTTAAGTTATTGTGATTATCATTATTTTATTGATTATTATTATTATCTTGCATAATGGAAAATAGTGACATGTATGGATCACAAAGTGTTGTTATGTGCCAGGATGCAAGAATACCTCAATAAGTGCTCCAAACAAACTCTTTCTAACCGTTCCCCATGATTATGCACGTAAAGTTTTATGGCTCAAAGCAGCTAGGCGTGATGTTCCTAAATCAAAATCAATGTTTTTTTGTTGCGAGGATCATTTTAATGAAAGTACGATCAAAAAGCTAATGATGAGGCATACAGAATATGCCTTCTATCGTACTCTGTGTTGTGGGCAAATTCTACCTTGTACAGTGCACTCACAAAGAACCCTCGTGTTTCAATTCCACATATCCGATATCACCATATTGTTCTCGTGATGCCCAAAATACAAATTTAAGAGTTCCTTTTACTTTTAAAGCAGCCATGTGTATAGGTTGGGTTAAGTTGAATAAGTGAAATTTTATATATTATTTACCTAATCTAAACCAATACAGACAGATTAGTATATTAAGGAGAGAGTAACTAATAATTAATTTACGGATTTTTACTTACGCTGCTGCTTTGACACCCTTAAATTCGGCTGAATTAAAGAGTTCGTCGTTTTTTAAAAATTGGGCAACCTTAAAAATATGTACACATGGTACATTATTCGTTGACGAACATTGTACATTGTATTTAAATTCACAAAATAATTAATGAAACAACCACACAACTAAACACTATGCACAGAACGTAAATAATCCGCCATTTATATGACCAGAGACGTCACAACCAATACGATTGCGTTTTAGAGATTCATGAATAATTTGAATTTTAGCTGAATTTGTTTATTAGATATTTAACAAAATAACAATAGATAGACAGTATAAACTTATTTAATGAACAACTTAATGTTCAGTTTGTAGGAATTTTTGATACAATGAAAACACCCTATTGGTGATCAAATGAAAGTTTTTTATCAGACACCATGGAAATGCTCGTCAAGACTGATCAAATGCTTTGTTTTTAATTCAAATGAATAAAAATGAAACGCACTTATTACACAGTTTTTCGCCTTGATGCCTGTTAATTGGTTGATGATTTTGCGCTAAAAAAAATAACGTCCGCCCGTTAAATTTAACCAGTGGCGTGCACCAGTCGCGATTTTACTTCGCACGGCATTTTTTATGGAAGCGAATTAAATCCATCGTTTGAGGTGCGGCTTCTTGCGGTGCCCACGTAGGCGAATGAGAGTCGGTGGTGTTCCTACGGTTTACCTGGTCAAGAAGCCATCGAATTTCAATTAAATGGAACCACGATCAAAGTGGTTACTGCGCCCAATTATTAGTACGTTGTTTTACTAAATAGTCCCCTTGTTGAAAAAATTTTACCTTTAGACAAGGACACTTCAAAACAGCTTCAAAGTTCCCCGATTCTTCAGCACCGAAAGTCCATTTAATCGTAACTCGATGCGATGACTCTTCGTCGAACCACGTTGAACGTAGGAATGCCCCGCTCTCCTTGCGTCCCAACCCGCAATCGCTCCCATCATGGTACTGCAATGGTACAATGGTACCACTCGCGTGGTAAATCGACTGACCGACCAGAAACAGCACCTCTTGGTTTACCGTATGTTCGCTTGTTGTCGTCGTCGTTCAGGCAGGGAAAATCGCGACAATTTCCCGTTTTCAGTGCAGAAAACTAGTGATTTTGTTCTACAGTACCATTAACAGCCAACTACCGATTAGTGCTTTAATTGTGTGCCAGGTAAAAGCCGTTGCTAGTGCGAAATCTGAAGAAGATTGTTTACCGTGTCATCTGGAGTTTGGTCTATAGCGGATTTCTCTTTCGAGATTCATTTGAGTGAAAATGGACGCATTGGAGTGCATTGGGGCCTGATATTGACAAGAGAGATGTGAGCTAATCGGGAGTATTGGAAACAGTTACTTTCACCAGATCGAGCCAGTTCATGGCGAGTTTTTCATAGCTAATAGAGAACCAGTTACGATTTCAAGGAGTTTAATTGAACATGCTGGTCCGTGAAGGTCTGCGAACTAATACCACAGCATTGGGGATTTGGGAACATTTTTAAATACTATCAAAAGAGATAGACTTTCGAGGCCATTCCTTGAAACTAATGGGTTTTTCGGGTTTTTAGACCGTCGTTCGGTAGCATTTCTTCCTGACGTTTCGCAAGCACGAGTGGCTTGCATCTTCAGAAGTGGTTTGCTTGAACGCTTATAGAACAGTGTAATGGATTTCCAAAAATCCTAAACAATATTTAAAAATGAAACTAGTGGGTTGTTCGGGTTTTTAGGCCGTCGTAAAATGGAATTTCTTCCTGACGTTTCGTGCGAAATGACAGGAGAAATTCCATTTTACGACGGCCTAAAAACCCGAACAACCCACTAGTTTCATTTTTAAATATTGTTTAGGATTTTTGGAAATTTGCTCTTGGGGTCAATGTTTTGAAATAGCAATAAAACCCAAAAAGTATAATTAAAATGCAATAAAAACAAATGAGTTTTCCCAAGAATAAGCAACGAGGTCTAAAGGTCCTATGAACTCCAACCATCGTTACGTAAAGTCGTCTGCGTATGAGGCAATAAAAGGAAATGCGTACCGCTACGCAAAGCCTTGATAGACCGCACGACATTACAAAAACCCACATATCTGGCACTGACTGGCCTTGTTTAGAAGAAAGTTGGAATTCGCATGTCGCCAGCCAAACTCCTCATGATAACGGTTCGCGACTCAGAGCCCCAACCAAAACAGTCACTTTTCTTGAAGGAAGTCCCTGGCACGTCAACATCATGGCCAACACTGGCTCAAACATATCGGTGATGGGCGAGTCCACTCGGCTCGTGCCAGCCAACGCGCCGGCCATTTTCGAGATCATCACCAACACGAACATCGCTCCAGATGACCTGCTAGTGCATGTCATCGCTCCCAGCAAGCGAACAGTACCAGCCCGCGTACTGCCTGGAAATCGCACAGGTAAGAGCCATCGCATACCAAACCATCTGCAGAGTGGAGCTCCAAATGTGCCCTTTTTTAGGTGTTCAAAGCGTCGAGTTTGTGCCAACGGAAGTGGGCACCCACATTGTAGAAGTCACGGTTAATGGGGATAAACTGCCATCAGGCCCCTTGATCGCCAAAGTGTACGACGCTGGGCTGATTCAAGTGGCCGATGTCAGTGGCGGAGTTGTGGGACAACCCGTCCAATTTAGAGGTAGGTTTATAAAATGTTTTAAAATGCTCTCATTTTCTGTCGCCGATGGGCCTCTAGAAATATCCAGCTTTTTCGCGGTGTTCCATTGTTTTTCTTCCGGCGACTTGGCGAGCATGAAATGTGCAGCCCACTTGTGGGTACATTATGGTCCATAAATTGAGAGTAATAAGAGAAAGTTGAAGCACGGCCCGAGGTGTGCATGAATCAAATACCAAACTCAGATGCCAGACTTACTTACTGTTGATCGTTATTTTCGGAATTCACGTCCTCTCGATTGCTGGTCTACTTTTGCCAAGCAAATAAAATGGATTTGGGTCAGATTCGCCTTGCATCTTCCTCATTTTCTGTTTAACTGAATCAATCTCCTGACTGCCTCATTGAGATGTGCCTACTTAAGTCAAGGCAGAATTGCTGATTATCTCGCAACGGTTTCTTAAACAACAATTAGCAAATCCATGGAGCATAATAATGGGTCCAAGTTCGCTCAATGCAAAAGTCGAGTTTCCATTGTTTCGAAATCGCTGAATCTTTCATTTGTGAAAAGAGTGCCGTGTCGGAAGGCAGAAACTGTTGAAGAGCGATTGGTAAGTCCGAAACGGATCGGTGTATGTGGTTTAGTTGCGTTGAATTCAACAGCGACTGTGTCGGACGCTTCAGCGAAGTCAACCGAAGCGCTCATGGTTTTTCTAGAGCTTTGGTTGGTTGTTCGATTTCGTATAGACATTCATCAGAAGATTTCGCTTGTTAAACAGACACTTTGCAATTAACTAGACGGCAAAATTGTTGAAACTGGAATCTAGCCAATTCAATTCTCTATCCAACGATGCCAAAACGAATTCTCTGGCTTGAATGGTTCTTGAGAAACTTCGAAAAAAACAGCGTCATGTTCAAGTGGATTTTGCAAATCAAAAAAAACCACGCAAATCTAAAACTTCTTGAATTCAAGCATTTTTTGAGAAAACTGCCAACATTTCCCGATCCATGGTTCACTTTCTAAAAAGGCCATTTATTTCTCTCTAGAATGATGTACAAATGAGCGTTCTTGCACCTTTTGCTTCCGAGAAACGAGTAAAAAAGGCACGGAAAACATGAAATTTTGGCATAATCTTTGCACCTAAGTGTCTGATATTCAACT